AATATTATAACGCAAGGTCTGTATAAATTAAAATTAGTTGGGTACCATTGACAATAACCCAGATTCTAATCCTAGGACTGACACAAGTGACTTTGAGTGGGATACTCTTTATCTTCTCTTCTTTATCCTTCTACGAGCTCCTTGGATTCGTCGAATCCGGATATCCAAATGAAAAAAATTCCTCCCCATAGGGGTATTTTCTCTTCTCTTTGGATATTAAAATTATCATAACTTAGATCTCCATATAAAAGATAACTCTCCTAGAAGGGATGTTTTGCTCTCTTTGGATTCTAAGTTGGACGGGCTATCCCAACTCAGAAACCCACTCTCACATTACAACTCAATTTAATTAAATTGCATCACATAAAAATAAAAGAAAATTTATAGACACCCTACATGGTTATTATCCTAAGCAATTAAAATTAAAATCATCACAAATAGTTATACAAATCAAATTGCTCAAATTAAATTCACAACCATACTTGGCCATGCTTTTTTAAATTTTAACATGACTTTAACAATTAACACTTGCAAAATTTTTTTGTTAATTTAGAATTTATTTTGCTTCTTTAATTTAGCCCTACATTAGCATGACCACCTACAAAAAATCCTATGGACATCCATATCATTTCCAATCTAACGATATTATATTGTCCATCACATCATTTCACATATTACATAATTAAATAAACACATTAATCAAAATAATCATACAATTAACCAGCATTCTAAAAAAACCACAAAAACTCAGCACACGATAGCAAAAAAGTAAAACACTAACCTAGCCTACAACTAGAGTCAATTATCCTAACAAATCATCTAAAATGTGTGGAGTAAGCTATGTGGCTTGGATACGTCCTATATTGGATAGTTTGTTAATGTTGTTTAATGTTTCGATTTATTGAAAGATTAAGGAGATTTTAAATTTGAGTTTAAATATTAGTTTTTATAGTCAATTTTAAAGTGCTTTTTAAGTATTAAATGGTTACTACCTTTGTTTATATCAGGGTCATGAAGATTATTTTACCTTTTTGGGGGCTAAGTTAATAGCATCGTAGGCCCTGATTACTTAATAATAACTGGTAATAATTGGGTTAATTTAATTAGTTGAGGACTAAGGGTGGATAAATTTTAAGTAATTTGATTACTTACTAGTTTGAGTGATTAAGTTAGAATTTTGTGGAGTTTTAGGTAAATTATTAAATTTTACCATTTTTTGAATTATTTAAATGTATTGATTAAAGGGTCAAAAGTTATCTTTTTAAATTAAAGTGATTTATAGAATTTTGATATTTTTCCTAAAATACTAGACCTTGAGGTGAGTAATTAGGCATTAAGTTTGTTGAATTTGAAATTTTTACAATAAGTTAGAAATTTTTAAAGTTTTGACCTAGATTTGAACTGTACTTGACCAAATGGTTAACTTTTTTTACTTTGACTAAATTTTGAATATTTGACATTTTTAAAAAATACTAGATCTGAAGTGGAGTTGAATGGCTTTGAGTTTGATCAATTTTAAATTTCTAAGAATTAATTATGATTTTTAAAATCAACTAATTAATGGAATTTTTAAAATTATTTAATTAAGGATGTTTTGGGGATTTTGTTCCAAATCAATCCTAAACTTCTTGAAATTACTCACAAAGGTCAGAAATGACCTAAGGGAATAATTCCAAGTGTTTAAGATTTTTGTGGAATTTTTAATTTACAAAATTAATTAAAAGTTAACTTCCATTAAAAATTTAATTATTCTTAAATTAAAAGTATGATCAACAGACTTTTAATTTCATGGGTAGAGGGTTAAATTATGGTTAATTTAATACCTTATTCATAATTTTCAGATTTTACATGAATTAATTATGGCTTAATTAAGGCTCTGTGACAATTCTAAGGGTTGATTTTGGGCTTCCTATATGGTGGATCAAATGGGCTCCAATTTCACTGAAACTTGGGCCATGAGTTCTCTTGGTCTCAAGGCCCAAGCCCAGTAAATTTGGGCCAAAGGTGGATCCTCTAAGGTGGTTAACCAAACCACCTAACCTTAGAGTTACTTTCAAAAATTCAACAAGTGAGATTTAGACAAGGGATTTGGGTGTAATTGAAGGCCAACTAATCCTTACACTATGAATAGTTAACACACCAAAGAACACAATCTAAATCTCATTGTTAAGATAATTGGGTTAGTTTGAATTTAAGGGTCATTCCAAGACCCCTAAATCTAAATTAACCCAAACTAGCCCTTAATTATATCAAACAAGGGAGAAAATCTTTAGACATGTCAGAGAGCCCTTAATTAAATCAAATAAGAAAGAAAATTTTTGACATGTCAAAGACAAGCCCAATATCTATTCCTCAAAGTTTCAGTCCCTGAAGAGTTATCCTAATGCCAAAAATGTAAAAATACCCATAGGGTTCTAACTGTTATAACTTAAGTTTCATGCATGCTCAGGGACTCATACCACATGTCTTTTTAAGGTCTCATCAATACCTTTTCAATGAGCCTAAAAATACCTAAATCGACCAAGTGGTTGAGGAGATACTAATTTTGAAAATTTCCTATATTTTCTGTAAAATTAAATGCATATTTATCTAGTCTTTACCTGCGAGCGTGATTTGATTGGTCAGCTAATCATTGGCGAGCTTCTTTAAATTATACAAGAAGGATCAGGAATGTATAAATCATTAATCTAACAGTTAGATTTCAGCGGCTTGACAATTTATTTCACACTTGACCATAGTTACCTAACTAGGAGCTCAAGTAGGGGTTTATACATTGGAAAAAGTCCCAACGAATGGAATTTTCTCATAGGAAGCTTGAGGGGATGAAGAGGAAAATTTCTTCTTTAGATGTTGGGACCAGAGGATCACCAAAGATAGGAGTTCATGCAGAGGGCAGAGAGTTTTTGCTGGAGTTCACTCGGGATGATAGCTGGAGATGGCTAGGAAGTTAGGGGAAGAGACGAAATGCTCAGAGAGCTATGGGGAGTGTTTCTAGAGAGGTTGGATTCGAATGAATTAGGCTGAGGAGGGATACCCTATTCAAGTGATGCCAGTAGCTTTGGATGACTGGGATGGCTTAGGGAAGCTAGTGGATAGCTTCCAAGTGAAGGGAACATCACCTCTGAGCCTTATGAGCTCAAAGCCAGTGAGCATGGGGTCTGTAAAACTTTGGATGAGGCTCAAGATGGAGGGGACTAGTGGAGCTCCAATATGCTTACTCCGGCCATTAGCAGCCAGTGGGTGGGTCAGGATGAGGTGAAAAGGCCATTGGGAGTCTAGAGAGCTCAATAGAAGAGATAATTGGGTAGGAGGTAGCCCAATTCATTGAGATGGCTATATATATATATATATATATATGATTCACATATTATAGTAAATATGAACAAACTCTAGAAATTTGAAGATTGATGATGGTGAATATGCTCATATCTAGGCAAGTTCTCCTTTATTTAAAGGTAGAGGTAGAAATAATTTATAAGCTAATTAGAAATCAAGGAAGTGAAGCAATTAAAAATACACCTAACATTTATTCAAATCATCTGCAGTTTATTTTCAATTAGCAATAAAGAAAACATTAAGTAACCAAAAATCTGGCCAACATGATATGTTCCTATTGCCTATCCCTCACTAAGTAATAGGGTAAGACATAGAAATAGCTTTTTAAGGTATTGTAATATCTAGCATTCAAAAAAAAAAAAATCACAACATATAGTAGCAAAATTCAAGAACATTTTGTCCATTCAATTTTATCTAAAAACAAAAGACAAATTTGGTCAAATGCCTTTCAATTAGGACCCAATTACTTTAAAAAATAGAAGATAAGCCAAATCATTGATAATTTTGTATGTGATATCTTATCGAATAAAAATTAGAATAAAAGTGCCAAAATAATAATGTAAACAATTCTTATTTTAATGCAATTTATCACCTAAGATACTACAATTTGAAAATAAATAAATAATATTATTAATGGAACATAATATCTCCTTCTTCATTAAATTGAAATAAAAAATCTAATATCTTAGAAAGAATGTTCTGTTAAGACTCACTTTTCTTATGTTAACAATAATTTCTTGCACAATTCACATTAAACATAATTAGAATAAATTTTTTAAGGGAGAATTTTTCTAGCTAGAAGATTAAAAAAATCATAAGGACTATCTCACCGCTTTTAGTGCTAACAATATGGCACGGTGAACAACTTATCATGACTTGTAGGGGTGTCAAAAAAATGACCCTATCCGTCAACTTGATCTGAGCCTGATCCAAAACTTCGGGTCCATGTTGACTTATTTAATAAATGGGTCAATTTTGAGTCATGTATTTTTACTCATTTATTAAACGGATCAGATTCGAGTTGACCCTCCAACCTATTTGATAATTATTTTCTTAAATTCTTTTATAATTTTTTGTATTGTAAAATTGCTTTAAAAAATAATAAAAAAATTGTCTCAAACAAAATACTTTGTTTGGAACAGCTTCCATACTATTTCTTAAAGCACAAAACTTTAAGTTTCATTTGGGACAATCTTTTTTCTGCCTTCTAGAATAATTTTCTAATACAATTTTTTTAAAAAAAACAATGAAAATACCGTTTCCAAAAGTTATCCCAAACAAATCCTTAATAATCTGCTTATAAAGTTATTAAAACATATTTTCATCTAATTTGGGCAACTTACCCTTCAATTGATGAAAAAAGTTTGAAGTGGTGATTTGAATGGTTTTCAATACATGTGAGAAATGGGCAAACTCTTCCAATTTATATGCCATGAACATGTAAGACATCAATGTTTGTCACTTAGGTGGTGAAAAAGAGCTAGAAATAATTAGCATTGGATGGTTTATCACATAAGTGGTGATAAACCATATTGATTCTTCATATATGAATCATAATAAAGTCAGGGAACAATAGGGTAGACTCATAAAATATCCTCATTAAAGTTTAGCTTAGGAGATGATCAAGTTGTGATAAATTAGGACTCAATCATGAGTGAAAAAGATAAGAAAAAGGTGGAGATTTAAGTTTCTCTAGATGAACAATTCACAGTAAGCTAACTTCAACCTTCCAACTGATTTTAGTACAAAATGAACTCAAAACAAGAGACAAACCTCCTTCTACTATATCAATAAGTGAGACACAACAATAACAATAAATAGAAACCATTAAAGAAAGTAAATCACTCAACACTCCTGAAGATAGCAAAGCAAAAAGGAAATTGACTTATGTAACATGAAAGAAACCATGATAAACTGATTATTTTCAGAGTCAAATAGCTGCATCAGTTCTGACCTTGTCCGAGCCACATTGATCATCATCGCCGCCGCTCTCGCTCTCAATAGGGGCTTGAGGAACAGTGGCTGAGCCGGAGCTCACCTGCTGGTCACTTGTTGTCAAGCTTGCAAGTCTGTTCTGCTTCAGATAATTCTCAAGTGGAAGACTAGCTACCTGAAGAAGGCTCATCATGCTCATCTGTGGCAAAGAGGGTGAGTCAGTAACTCGCTGCTCTGCATCACGTTGAGGTTGGCAGTTCAAGTCTATATGTCCCTCGAGAAGGTCGCCTTCTCTTTCCTTTAAGGAGCTACTGGTACCTTCGAGTTCTTCCCGGCTGCCCCAAGATTGTTTCTTGTTCACCTCAGCTTCCTCGCGCTCGGACTGCCGTTTCTTCTTCCTCATCATGAGGGTCTTGAATCGGCGCTTCACTGTCATGCAAACATTACAAGTGCAGGAAGGGCTGTGCTTCGGGCCCTTCCCACTGGGCGGCTGGATGCACACAATACAGGTGCAGCCAGGGCGATGACGGGGATGCCTTGTGGTTGCTGCAGCTGAGGGAGAAGCTTGGTTGCCTGCTTCTCCCTGCGCCACCGCGGTGGCCAAGGCATCAAGGCCAGTTGATTCAGCCTCTGATGGAGATTGTTTTGAACTTGTGATACGTTGTCTTTTTAGCTCTGCAGAATTTTTTTTAAGGTTAAAAGCCAGACTCCCGTCTTAAATGAAAAAAGAAAAGCTATGAGAAATTAAAATCTGGGGGGTCAAAATGGCCACAGGATGAATGGAAAGCTTGTTACTTATGAGACTACTAGCAAGCAATGAGCCCAAACAATGGCTAGTTAAAAATCAAGATGTCACACGTCAATCACAATTTTTGCCATAGAGGGCATGATTATGACAATAATTTAATCTTAGATAACTTAGTTTGGAATAGTTTAGCAATAATCTAAAATCCAGAAACAACCGTGAAGCTCCAAAACAAAGCAGAGCATATTCTAATATTTATAGACAATCACAACTGGAGATGCTTGTAACCAAAATTTAATGAAAAAGGGTTTTTTTTTTCTTTTCAAAAAAACCTAGAAATATATCCCAAATATTTAGTAATTGAAAATAAGACCAAAGGCCAACTAAAAATAAGTAGGAACCATGCTAGTTCCAGATAAATAGGGAGCAAAACCATTTACAGATCAAATTCTCTGCAATGAATCGGTGAATATTTAGTTTTTAAAGATCACAAGCCGGATTCAAATCTGTGACTCAGACCATGAGAATCAGAGAGCATACTACTTGAGCTAGAGCTCATAGGGTTTCAAAACAATAGGATTAATTTTCAAAATGTTTATAAATGCAAGCATTTGCGTGAATTTCAGCCTTCAAAATTTTTATCTGCATTGTTACACGCTCAGCTAGGTATGGTAAAAAAGCATAGCTGTGCTCACTTTTAAGTTTTAAATAGTTATAATGGTGTTGAATCATAGATAACTAACATTAATGAGCCTACAATTAGGCTAATCGTACCATTTCTGCCTGTTAACAACATTCAACAACTAAATTCTTATTATAGCTAAATTTATACAATTCTTTCCTCTTAACATGCCATTGGCCCATTACTGAGCATAGGTAAATTTTCGCAGTACTTATTGAGTAACAAGATGTGCACCATAAAATTGATGGCGAAAATGTCTATATGCCTCATCCATTAACGCAACTGGAGATTGTAGGAGCTTCATTTCGTTCAAAACCACAACAGTAAATAACAACCCTTGTGTCAGTTGATATAATGCAAAAGATAAATTACTAACCTGCATGCTGCCTAAGGAGATCTTGCACCTCCCTTGCAGTCAGTTCATCTGGAACAGCGCATGAAGACCTATAGAATTTTCATTAACATCATGAGAGAAATTAAATGCCCTAGTGTATTACCTCTTAAAATTACACTTCATACACACAAACGAAAAGTTTCATGACATCCTTAAATTCTTTGCATTTCATTCTTTTGAGAGTGGTAGAAAAAGTAGATACTTAAATTGAGCCAATATTTAGGTACTTGTATAATGAGGAGAAGTCAAGCAATGTATCACAATTCTGTGGCACAGGACATGAAGATATATAGAAGCATACATAGATATAGTTCGAGAAAAAAAAAGATACCTTATAAAAAGCTCATATCATGAGACAAATGAAATTTCCCCATAGAAATTCTATTACAGTTTGTAAGTTCGTTTGAGCAACTTGTTAAAAAGGCAGGCTATTTAAACATTTGTACATAACGAAGAACCCTCAAGCGACATGACATTTTTGACCACCTCTCAATCTCTTCTTCTAAAATGAACCCTGAACTGGGAAATAGAAACATATTCAGAGCCGTTGGATATTTTTTAGTAGCTATATGAAATTAAGGTTGACAATACACCTAATTCCATCCATTAATCAGTGCTGGAAATCATCCACTCCAACTAATGATGACCCAAAGCATTGTTTAAAATTGCGCAATAAGAGGCTCGCCTATGCGTAATTCTAGTGAAAAACACCTCGAGGCTTACGCCTCTAGCTTTTTTATAAGGCTTGCACCTCAGCTTGGCTGAGGCCCGCCTTGAGGCACACCTTACCTAGTTACCTCACTAGTTTGAGGCTTATGCCCCACTCTATTTGTATATATTTTTTGTTAAAACAAATATAAATTACGCCTTAATGCACATTTGAGCACAACAACTTCATCTTGATTGCCTCTACCTCCAGCTAGCGGCCTTCGCCTCAGCCAACACTATCATAGCCATCACCGATAATTACTTAGAAGTTGCACACCACTCTAAAAATTTTGGAGCATTAATCTCATGTTTATGTTGATAAAAATATTTCTAAAAGAAGAATATGATTGAAATAAATTAAAAAGAAGCATATTGGGAGGCATTCGACTCTACCGAATGAGGCAGAGGATAGACTAATTTGTTATGGCGATAACTCAGATAAAGATAACATCAGTGATGCCAGTGCAAATTATTCCTAAGTTGTTGCCAACTATTTCAGCTTTCATTAGAAATTAAATGTAAATGAGTAGAGAATTAAGAAATAAGAAATTTGAAGTTGAACTTAATGTTATCTGATATTTTTAGGCAATTTTTATATTTAATATTGTTTTCTCTTTTAATATTTGGATTTTAATTCTATTTCACGCAATTTATCACCTGTCACTTTATATCTTGTGTAATTTTTTATTTCATATTTATGTCAATTTGTTAATTCATAATTCAATAAGTTAATATGTCATCATTTAACATATTATTTAGATATTATATAAAAAACTAATTTTGAGATTTATTATCACTTCACGTAATTTTTTTATTTTGAGGCTTACGCCTCAAAATGCCTTGAGGCTTACTCCTTGCCTCATGAACAAAAAATGCTTCAATACCCAATTGCGCAATTTTAAACATTGACCCAAACTACTCTACCATTACAAGAATAGCTATGGTAGCCACCTTCTCTGCAAATGGGTATCCAACACACGATGCCAACAACACAAACAGCCGGCTGTTGATGCATACCAAAAGTTGTCATCTAAAATGAACTCAGGGCAAAGTTGCCCTTCCATTAGAAGAGATATTTCCTATACTAGTATTTATATATCATTTGTTCTGTTTTACTGTACAATTTACATTTCCTCATAATTTGACTTTTTATAATGCTGTGAAGTTTTATTCAATTCAACATGATATCAACGCTGATGTCTTGCGGCAATTATTTCTACTGCTACGTCTTTCCACTGTTTAAGTTATATCCCTCTTTCAATACTTCGTTCACTGGAAATCATTTTATGGCACACTCACCTTCTTCCTTCGTGCACTAAACCTGCTACTTCATTTTATGCCAATCTTACATATTGGTCAAATATCCCCTAACCTTCAATACACTAGCTTGATGTTGATTGACAAAACCTTGCTGCTGCTCTTATTTTCTACAATATCATCTTCTATTCTCCCTATGGGCTCCGAAAATTCAGCCCCGGCCTCCGCCCGCTGTTGCGTTTCTTCGGGGGGGGGGGGGGGGGAGTTTTAATGAATTTAAGTTCAAGGTTAAATTTTGGTAAGGCATATGGGTTTGTAGATAAGACACTACCCAAAGATTTCGCCCTCATTTTGCGACTTTAAGATCTGAGTTCTGGTTTCCTATAAGCGCAAGCCCCTATAGTTAATTACCCCTGCTAATAACAAGAGAAAACTCTTGATTAAGGATAGTCATCAATAAGATACGTAGAGATACGTGTTATCTGACATATAAAAGCAACATGGATTTGAATTTCGGAATTTGAAAAGTTTAATATTTAAATTGGAAAATTCACCATCTTGCACTTAAAGCGGATGGTGGGGGAATGGATGATGGACCCGATCAAGATCTCATGGTTCCGTCGTCCCAGGCCATCGTGGTCCCTAGTCTACTTAGTCAGAGGAGTTAGTCGACCCAACCTAACAGAAGGATCCTTGTTGGCATCCATGGGTTGCTTCGTCCAAGGAGACCTTGTAGACCTGGGTGAATGTTTGTCTAAGGGGACAAATTTGAATCCACGTTAACTAACAGAGGGCTTTGTGCCCTATCGATCATATCCCATTGATTCATATCTGAAGAATTTGATGTCATCAAAGAACGCATTGGCTCTGGTCATAACTGGTATTTTGTGGTGCCATTGGCGGCAAAAACACTCAGTTCATAGGGCCCCGAGTCATAACTGTTTATCCTACGGTGCCATTTGGCTGCAAAGCCACTAGTTAGAGGACACGTACCACATCCTTACTAGCAGGAGATTGTTTCAAAATGGATCTTAATGATATTTTCGACTAGGCATTAGTTCAATTTAAGCTGAAGTAGTTTTCAATTTATCCACCTCAGCAAACTATTGCGGATGATAGATGAATTTTGCTTTAAATGTTGATGGATCTATTTCAATTTTAAATATTTTTGGATTTTGGGATTTCTGGTATTTTGGATTTTTGGGAGTTTTGATGAGCATTTACGTGGCATTTTGAAAGTTTGAAATTAACCCCTTCGATTGAGATTTTTGTTCAACACGGCCATCATCGGGGTGACCTTGAGTCACTTAAAATATTTGAATTTTATTGAAGTTTAAGAGCATTTTGAAATATTTAAAATTAACTCATCCGGTTGAGATCTGCATTCAACACGGCCATCATCAGGGTGTATGGGGTTATTTTATTGACTAAAAAACATTGTTGACTTTGTCGGGCTATCGACAGATGATCGGGTTTTATAGGCTTTAAGCCTTTGTTAATGAATTCTCATTTTTATAGGCCTTAAAGGCCTAATATGAATGTATTAAGATAAATATATCAGTCGCCACAACCATATATTTTTTTTTGATAGTTTGAACCCTATCGACTCCTATTGATCCGCATAAAAGGAACGGGTTCAAACTTGAATTTACTTATTGACCCGCGCAGCATCCTTAGACGTCACATGTGTTCCTACAACACGCTTGTTGGGACCCATGCGGGTGTTTGGGGGCATTTTATAATTATTTGTTGAACCTTGTCGATTCTTATTTACCATGCTTAGGATCTATTGACCCGTGAAGCTTCCCTAGACGTCACATGTATCCCTATAACTGCTCGCCGGGGTCCATGCGGGTGTATGATTGTACTTGCCCCCTTTTTTGTACGTATATGTATACATATTATAATGCATGTGGGGGAAAATTCTTGTTATATTTGTAAACGTCTTTTGTCCGCTTGCATGGATGTTGTGGATCCAGTGGCATAATATAGCAACTTCTGGATTGAGTTGTTTACTGCTTTGTACAGGTAAACTGTCACGCACTACTTATTGCTTTCTGCAAATGGATTGTAGTGCACCAACGAATCTCCTGCTTCTGCTTGTGGGAGTCTACATTTGTTGCATGTCATTTGTCTTTACTTACAAATGATCAACATATTTGATTGACATTGTATAAGAGTTGACTACAAGGATGATGTAGCATCTATTATCTTCTACTACACAACTTATAGGTGCTTGTATATGTTCTTGACTTCTTTATGTATTATTGATTGGTGAACTGCCACATCTACTTGCATGTCTTCTAATGCTCGTAAGATTTATTGCTTGCATATTTTTTCGGGGTCAAATTATACATCCCCTCCTATTTCATTGCTTTCAAGATTGAATATGGTTTCTTATGTTCTAATGTTGATGGTAGAAGTGTTGTAAGGCAGCTGGTTCATCTGCTAAATGTCCTTCATATCTTGCTCACGAACATGTCGTATCATTTGTGGAATGACATTATATGTTTGTAGGGATGACTTAGCACATTCACTTTGTATATTAACACTCTCTGTTGAATGGATTGCATTCATCAATAATCTCCCCATGTATGTTGATTGAAAACTTGCAACATTCGCCTGTGCGTCGTTTAATACTTGTGGTGGCCGTCGTTTGTATCTACGAGATATCTGATGTTGGCTGTAGAGGAGCTATTGATTTCACACCTTAGCCATTGATATAACTCATAAGTGAGCTAATGTGTTTATTATATTTCTTGTAAAGAAATTATATCCCTCTATCTTGTTTATGAGTATATCCCTCATGAACAATTCATTCTGAGTTCATTATGATTGCTCAAATAAGCTTTATGCCAAAGCTTGTAATGACTTCATGTGTGAATCTTTGCTTGCATGAATGAGATTCAGATGGATAACTCTCTTTGATAAGCATTTGCAACTCCTAATAGAATGATAATTCCTTAATCCTTATTGAGAGCTTATTGTTATGATCCAAACTCAAGTTTCATTATAGTTCAAGATCCAAGTACAAGTTCAAGTTCTTGTCCACTGTGCTTGATTCAAATCTAAGTCCAAGTCAATT